AATTTCTGTATTTCCAAGTCTAGCAGACAAACTTTTGTCTAACAAATACATTCATTATAAATAAAGTTGACACAATTTGAAACAAGACTCAGGAGGCAATCTTCTGATTAAAAAAAATAAAAGTTTATGGAGCAAGAGTGCCTGAGGATTCTTCAGCCTGGCCACAAGAAAAGAAGAGGCTCTTTCCTAGGGTAACTGATGAAGCTATTTTGGAGAATTGCATGTGTGGCAGATATGTATGTGAGTCAGACACAGTGGGTAAGCGTATTTTCTTATATGCTGTGGTTTTCATTTTATTTTGGGCTGTTAGACTCTATACTCATTGCGTGTTCTTGTGTAATAGTTTTTGGGTCATCCTGCCCTTACAAAATTAGCCAGAGAAATCTGTTACCACCTCAAACTGAAGGCTTGGGCTGGACTGTGTTGGCTCTCAAGTGACCTCAGGGAAACATTCTCAGCTTTTATTCTCTCTGAACCTTTCCTCTTGCACTCTCTGATAAACTATATTGGATCTCTGGGATTAAGGTCTCTGTGTACAAATGCATATTTTTTCCTAGGCAGCTGAAGATGGAGACTTAAGCTCTGTCCCCACAAAAGAAAGCAGGAAAGAATTAAGTGTTGGTCCCCTAAACAAACCTAGGACTCCACAAGTCAACCATGTCCCTTTCAGCCAAAGTTCATACTCCCAGGGGGATGACAGCAAGGGAGATATTTACATCTCCCTATTTTGACTCATTAGGCACGTTTTCCTTAGTTACTCCAACCTATAGTTCCTGATTTTCCTGGTGAAAAGTGTTCTTGAAAGAAAGAAAAATGTTCCTGCTATTTCTCAGTTCTCAAGTTACCGGGCAATAAGTCAGGTGAATGCCATCTTTTTTTCAAATTGTCTATAAACTCTCCTGACTACAAAGGTCTAATATTCTTAACACCTGTTGCAAATCCTCCATTAAATTTTCTTCAAAGTCTGGGGCCAAAAGATGCCATGGTGGTTAAAGTGTTGGATTCCTATAAGGTTGATTGTAGTTGGAGTCCCGGACCTGGCAGCTTTTTTCTCTTTATCCCTCCCTCCCTTTCTCTGTTTATCTCTAGTCAAATTAGAAAAATAGAAATAATAATAAAGTAATTTTTAAATATTTTTTCTTCAAAATCTAAGACTGTGGAACTTGTCTTTCTTAGATACCTTAGATCTTCCAAATTTTGAAAGCTATTTATAATTCCAGGAAATTTCTTTCTATCCACTCTTTGACTGTCGCTGCCCGTGACGCTGCCGCGAACAAAGGACACACACAAAGCGGTTTCTTCCTCTCGTCCCTTTATTTTCCCCTGAGGTAGTCAGTTGTCCGCTGCCACGCGTCCCGAGCTGGGGCCTGGATAAAAGGAGTCAATCAGTGTTGTGTACACGTGTACGGAAGTGCATATAGCCTATCATATGGGCCATATGTGAGAGTCCCGTGCTGATCATGCGACTTGTTATTGGCTAGACTCCAAGTGCACGCGTTCCGGGTAAGGAACTTCTAGGAATCTGCTTACTCTTTACGCGAGTAAGAGAGTTCCGCTCGGCGCCATCTAGTGGCGCGGTCCGCGGTAGGGCATTGTCGCCCTCCACATTTGACAAGAGAGTCAACTGTGCTCACACACTATAAAACCATGATGTTTTGGACACAGCACAGAGATTTTTTTTTCTAGTAGCACAAATTAAGAGTGATCAATGAATCCTTCACTTGTGAAATATCTGGTCATAAACTCAATAAATTATGATTTGTTATGTAAGATGAACTGGAGCTGAAATCCTATATGATTTTTGTCATTTTACTTTACATGCCTCTATTCTAGGAGGTCATGCTATTAGCAAATACATTCTCCTTTTGCACTACTGGCACTCAAAGGGCTAAGGTATAGAACTGAGTAAGAGTTAGACTTGGAACTTCAAACAGATGTTTCCTTGGAAGCCAGAAGGTGGCAAAGTGGTTAAGGCAATGTACTCACACATGGCCAAAGGGAATCCCAATCCTGTACACAAGGGTGTGACTCTCATGCCTAGCACTTGTCTGCACTGTGCCAAAATTTTCAAAAGAAGAATGGAGAAGAGATTGCTGCATGGCCATCCCCTGGGGTGTGGGAGAGAGTGACTTCAGGCATTATATCTTGCTGTCTCTAACGAGAGCTCATGTCCTGTGCAAAAGGTGTAATAATAAATAGGGAATATAGCTGCTGGAAAAATTACTTAGCTCTTTCATGAACTAATCTCATTATTAAAGAAGGTTCTTATAACGGATATGAGGGTTTAGGATAAACAAATTAACATGGAAAAAATTTCACACCACTGTTTACAAAGCTCAGATATGAGTGGAAAGCCAGAGGTGGGCTGGCCTGGCAGGGGAAAAAAAAAGAGAGAGAAATTTCAGGGAATTGTATACTTCCTTCTGGGGGTGGTTATGAAATCCTTATATCTTCAATAGCCACCCAATCCAGAGATGCTGAAGACCTCTTTTATGCAGATCAGAAGAAGAGAAATTTGACTTTGAAGCTGAGTGTTGGAGCTGATGAAGTTTGGAAATCACCCTAGGTACAGTGATCGCCCTGGGCCCCAACATGGAACCCCACAGCAGGTTAGAGTGTCACTGCTCAGGTTAGCCCTTCATTCACTCTCATCCACACAAACACTGCACCACACCCCAGCAGGTAAATCCTCCTTCCAGCCGCCCAAGAACACACTGCCCCAACACACCTGGTATCTCCAATATTTACATCCTTCCCTTCTGTCAGGAAATCACTGGACACTTTGGATGTCCAAGACCACATATGCTGAATGTTCTCTGGACTTTGCTGTGTCAAGCAACCACAATCCATGGACTATTGAAGGCAAAGAGGGCCAATTGAGTTCCGGGTTTTTTCCTTTTCTGGAGGACAGGAATCGGTCCTAAAGCCATTCAAACATAGAGCTTCATGTGGAAGAGATTGTCCCCATGTCCAGCCCAGGTGGAACCAGCTCTGCCATTGTCATCTCCTCCAGAAATCCCCAAGGAGGCTGAAGAAAGGGGCATAACCATGGGATGGGTCTGCCAGAACTGAAGTGATTGCTTTTTTTCTAGTACGTCAACTCAAAGGGGCTTTCCAGAGTCAGATAGTGAGCTAAAATCACTCCATCAATGAAAAATAAATTACAGCAGCTTCATGATATCTGAATCCTTGCCAGAGAACCTGGTTTCTGACAGAGTCTGACTGTAAATCCCAATTTGTTAAGGATCCCCTTACACGGATACTCAGTCTTTTATAGACCCAATATGTCCAGTCTAAGCAATTGTTTTGGTTCATGTGAGTATTATATACTTTTGCATAGAAACAACTAGCTGACACTTGAAATGAATCTCATGGAAAGGGTTAGATATGTTTCCCAGGTATAAGGAATTACTAAGAAGATAGAAAACATGTGAATGTTACTGAGAAGACAGAAACATACCACAGTGATGGAATGTGTGTTTGTCATTTATTATTCAATAACCAAAGATCATCAGCCCTGATTTATTGCCTGAAGAGGAGCCACAAAAGACTCCAGACTGCCAAATGCTTATGATATGTGAGAAGCATTTGGAGAACCAAGAGGATGGCCTAGTCATGATGGATTTGTAGACACTCAGTTGACTGTGTGATTCTGGGTTTGTGTGAATTTGGGAGAGAGACGACTCAGAAGGGGATGAGTCACTACCTCTAGTAGAAACTGAGAGTCTCATAGCCTTGAGAAAGTGCACTTCTAGGGGGCATGGCCATTAGTGACTTGGTGTATCAGTGGGGATCAGAAAGAGAACGACATGCTGGATGAAATGTTTATTTGAGCCAAGACATTAAAATAAGTAAACACAAGGGATGACAGTCTGTTTGTAACATTTTATTTCACCCATGTAATAAAGATATTAAACTAAAATTATAATTCACATTACAGGAATAGAAAGACTACATTCTGACCCAAGCCTCACTGTTAGCTTATAAGTCCAGTGCACATCTCAAAATTACCAGGAATGTCTCCATCACAGATCATCTGCATTACATGCACATGGCTTGCAGGTAGAATTCACAAGAGTTACAGGCTCTAGATTCATGACATACATTTCAGTGATTAGAACGTATAGTACAATGTTCCAAGAACTTAATGTCCCCTCAGCTCATAGATGTAACATTTACAAATCCAACTTCAGCCCCACATGTTGCCGAAGTTCATCTCTGATCAGGTGGAGGTGCATGTCTATATCTATTATTTGCCGAAGGATACTGAGTCTGTGCCACACTTGACAGATTATGAATGGAGCTGCAGCTGATGTCCTTTGCCATCAGTGCTTCTCTCAGCAAAATTTTTTTTCTCTAGATCTCTCTAGATCTCAAAATGGACAATGGGGTTAGTTGTGAAGTGTACCTTTCCTATCAAGCAAGGAGATGGCTTCCTGGATTGGGTGTTCCATTGTGCATTTCCATGCCAATGCAGGAGACTTGTAGCTGCTGCACATTTTCTGACAACTTTGATGTGGTCAGTCATTCTCAGGTGCCTGTTCTCCTGTCCATGTGGTGTGCCACAGAGTTGATGTTTTGCATATTCTCCAGAGGAGACATGACAAACAAATATCAAACAAGTCTATAGTTCCCAGCTCAGAATGTATCTGTTCAACACTATCACCTGTTGAATCTTAACAGAACTGTCTGTGTTTATCATGAGATATATGAGACCTCTGTCTCTCTTGGGTGTCACTCTTTTGAGGTCCAAGACATCTGCAAATACAGCCTCCCCCTACTGTGGGTTTGCACTTGCTTCTCTCATTGATCTGTGGCATGGGAACGGTGTGGGTGAAAGAACAGTTTTTCTCCACTCCCCTACATTCTGCAGCAGGGGTTTCCCCCCAACTGTAGGAGCTGTCTTGAAGGGAGATAGCTCATCAGACGTGGGTGTTCCTTTTTTTAAATGGAACCATTTTGCAACAAGAGCAATCAGTTCAAATCTTGCTCTATCCAAATTAGAAAAGCTGCCTTCGGGCCTTGCTAGGAAGACGGGTCTCAATGTTGTGGCATGTTCTGGGTCCTGGGCTGGGAGAGGGAGGCAGAGGTCTGAGGGCAGAGCCTGGCAGTGACTGCAGGCCATGGAGATTCAAGCTGAACTCTTCAGGCAGAGGGCGATACCTGGGGCTAGGCTTTTGCAGCTGAGGAATGCCTCCAGGGCTAGCGGCTCTTGGTCGAGGTGTGAGGAAGAGGATATTAGCTGTAGAAAGCCTGATCCCATTCTCCTGTTTAGCTTGGGATCTCATCATGAGCTGGCGGCCTTGGGAAGCCTCTCCTTCCTCTTCTGTTTGTGGGCCCCATATGTTATTTGTACCATGAAATGTCAAAGATCCGTCTTCAAGATTGATCGCCCAGGTGATCTCAGGATCATCGAGCAGCAGCCAGCGGGCCTTGGTAGGAAACCTGAGGCCCTGCGATGACCTGAGGATATACTTCGTAACAACCACAATGAGGACATCATTCAGTGTGAGCTGCAGCGCCCTCTTTGGATCCAGTATGAGGACTTCAGCCCCCAGGCATAGCTTCAGTACCATGGCTGCTTCCAAGACCACCACAATCATCTGCCCAACCTGGTGAAGAGAAAGCAGGGCTCAGTATCCTCAAAGAGACTCTTCAATGGACAGTGGGGCTCACTATAGATGAGTTCACAGATCCCATCCCCAACTCAGCATGGTCTCCCAGAAATAGTACTACAACCAGCCCCCATTCCAAAACTCAACTCCTGGACAACTTTTGTGACCTAGAATGTAGGTACCCATATCTAACTCCATACCCTCTGAGTACATACTCACCTGGGGAGGTTCCTGGGGCAGCCAATGATCAGACACAGGACGTTCGTGCATCCTTTCTGGTTGTACACCTGTGGGGACAGGAGGGAGTGCAGGTGAATGTCGAGTCAAGGGACTCCCATTAGGTTTGAAGGGTTGACCTGCAAATGTCCAAGGCCAGCACACATCTGCCCTGGAATACCTGCCCATCAATATCAAGGGAATCCCCACACATGGAAACAAATCATCTACTTCCCTCATGATTTCAACTGACCCAGGGTCCCCAGTAGAAGACAGCACAGCAGAAAAGAAAGCATCTCACCTGTTCCAGCAACTTGCTCTGCTTTACAACGTTTTGTGGCATTTGATTTGTAGTTTGACCTGGAAGACAGAGAGACACCCAGTCAGACTGCTTTTAGGAGAAGCAGAACATAGAAATTTACTTTGATCCTGAATCTCTAGGCTGATGAGGTTTTGCAAACCCCCTAGGTGTAGGTTCAAGTCTTGTCAGTGTTTCCATATTTCCCTCAAACTGAAGTCCCTCTCACCTCAGCCCTCCCTAACTCATCCACCTACACACCATCCACAAACAAGTCCTGCTTTCAGCCTCTGGAGTACATACTCCCTCAACACACCTGCCGTCTCCTGTTTTTTCGTCCATCTGGTCTAGGAGGAAACCGCTGGGGCTCCTTGGGCGCCGAAAACCATACATGGAGAAGGTTTACTGGGCTTCTCAGCGTCCGCAAATGCCAGTCGATGGCCCACTGCAGGGAAATAAGGAGAGCTGGGTCCCCCAATTCTTTCCTTTTTGTGAGAAACAGGTGACAGCCTTAAAGTTGGTCAAACACAGTTTCCTATCACAGAGCTATTCCCCGTGGCTTGCTCAGCAGCAACCTGCTCTGGCAATGTCAGCTCCAGGGCTGACATTCCTTTTTATGGTTTTGGAAGGGGCGGAGTCAGGGGATGTGTCAGCCTAGAGTAAGATGATTGGTACTTTTGGGTACGCCAGTTAGGAGGGCCTTGCCTCCTGACATGTTGGAGGTGAAATTAGTCCATCCAGAGCAGTCGAATTTGAAACCACCTCATCTCAGAATCCTTTCTGGAACATCTACTTTCTTCTTCATGTCCCATTCTACAATGGTTTCCATTACATTTACACTCATTTTGTTTTAGATCATGTTTGTCCAGTCTAACAAATTGTTGTCCATGTGAGTGCTGTGTCATTTAGCACAGATGGACAATGATCTGGTATTTTTAGTGAGTCTTAAGGTGAAGGAGAAGGAATGTTATTCACACATAAGAAACTGCTAAGAGGGACCAGCCCTTAGCGTAATGGCTATGTCGCTGGACTCCCATGTAGTTAACCATGGTTCGAGTCCCGGACCCGGTGGCTTAAACTCACGCCAGGCGCATGTGTGTGCGTGCCCAAGATCCCAACAGGAGAATGGAAGAGAAGGGATTGCAGCGTGGCCATCCCCCCTGGGGGGTGATTTCCTGTTTCTGCCTCTCTGTCGCTCTCTGTCTGTCTGGCGAGCGCACGCGCCCTACAGCAAAAACCTTTCCAAAAAAAGAAAAAAAAAGAAAGAAACTGCTAAGAGACAGGCAGAGAACAGGCACATACGTTGGGATGGGATCTTTATATTTGCTTTCCACCCAATTATCCAAACTGGTCAGGTCCAGCTTTCTGTCACAAAGGAACCTGGAAAGACTCCTTTTCAGCAAATCCTTAGAACCTTGGAGGAATGGGACCAGCAGTTAGCATAATGGCTATGTTGCTGGACTCCAACGTAGTCGCCTGCAGTTCGAGTCCTGGACCTGGTGGCTTAAACTCACGCCAGGCGCATGTGTGTGCGTGCCCAAGATCCCAAGAGAAGAATGGAGAAGAAGGGATTGTGGCGTGACCATCCCCCGGGGGAGGGCAGTGATTTCTCGCTTTCTGTCTGTCTGTCTCTGTCTGTCTGGCGAGCGCATATGCCCTATAGCAAAAACCTCTCCAAAAAAGGGAAAAAAAATAGCAGAACTTTGGAGGTACACGGAGGGAACTGTGAGGCACACTCATTTACAGGGTGCGAGTTTGGGGGTGGGGAGAGTCAGTGCCTCTTTTTGCCTGGGAGAGACTAATTGCCTTGAGAGAGACCACTTCCTGTGGGTGTTGCCATTTGTGATTTTATGCGTCTGAGATGAAAGGAAGCAAAGCAAAATGCCTAAGGATATGTTCCTTTTTTTTTTTTTTTTTTTGCTATAGGGCGTGTGTGCTCACCAGACAGACAGAGAGACAAGCTCTCTGAAGGAGAGTAGAGGAAAAGGGATTGCAACATGACCATCTTCTCTAAAGGTGGTATTTTCTTGCTTTCTGTCTCTCTGTCTGTTTCTAGCATGCATACATGGCCTATAGCAAATATCTCTCCAAATAAAAAAATAAACATTAAAAATGTAAAGACCCACTGTTCATTCCTTGGTAGCTATATTCTACTTTCTTATTTATATAACTGGAAAATTCTGTGGATATGTTCTAACTTTACCAGGACTACATCTGTCTCCAAGTCCTTCTTCAATCTCATCAAATTGATCTATCATTCCCCTCATTTAATTGGCATCTATATTTTCTGCATTCCTACATCTAGCCCACACTCTCCTTTAACAAATTAATTAATTAAAAATAAATGTATCCCATTTCAAGGTCAGACCCATAAAACCATCATCTCAAGAGACAAGAGTTTACTGAGCTTCATTGGTGGTTATTTGTAACTGGCTTCCTTCATTTAGATGCAGTTTTTATCAAGATTCATCCATGTTTTCTCATGTATAAATAGGTCAATGCCATTACTTTGTATTTCCAAACACCATCTTATGTATTGATTTACTTCATTTGTCTATCTATTTGTCTGGAATTTGTGTTTTTTTCATTATCTTAAAGGCTACTTAATGATGAATATGAGTAATGCTGCTATGAATATGTAAGAATGGCTTTCATGTGCATACATGTTCTTATTTTTTGCCAGTAGAAAACTAGAAGTAGAATTGCTATATGTTATGGTAACTATACATTTAAATTTATAAGAAACTGCCTGTCAAATTGTTTCTTGGTGTGACGAATATTTTGAAAGCCTGTCAAATTGAACGGGGGCTCATATTATTTATAGTCTCACTAAAATTTGTTATTCTGAATTATTTTTATTTCTGTAGCCATTGTAGTAAATGAGACAAGTTTGATATGTATTTCCCTATTTATATAAAATTTAATTTTCATTGAAATTCATATTCATATTTTTTAAAAAAGAGAAGAGTGTCCCAGGGTCGGAAGCCAAACATGCTTCAGCCAGTAAAAAGGAGAATCTTTATTTTTTTATTATCATCCTAATCTTGTTTCTATTACATTGGATTACATATAACTTTACAGTGTATTACATTGCTTTTTCAAAAGGGAATGCCATGCATGTCAGTCAATACAGAGACATTAATCTCCCCACTTCATCATTCAATATCTTTTCATTTTTTCCAATCATTATTATTATTATTCCAATTATTTTTTAACTAGTCAATCACTATTTCTCATTTTGCTTGTAAAAAGCCTTTACCCATCATGAAATACTTCTCAGACCAATCCAGTTGAGAATACTTTACATGTTATCATCAACAGGTAATAAGCTATCTCTGTTTCCCACTAACATCCCGCCTCTCTATTTGTTCTCTTGCTGTCTTTCTCTATCCTCTTCTCTTCACCCCCCCATTCCTCACTGTCTTATTCTCGTTAAGTACTTTCACTGCTTTTATGTCCCCCAATATTTTGCTCTCTACCCTAGAGTGTGGATAGTCAGTATATGTTAAGTGGATACATACAATATCTTTCATTCATAGCCTAGCTTACTTCACTCAGCAATAGATCCTCCATATCTAACCACTTTCTATCAAATGCCAGGGTCTTATTATTCTTTATGGCTGAGTAGTATTCCATAGAGTATATATGCCACACTTTTCCAATCCATTCATCAGTTTGTGGACATTTAGGTTGGTTCCATGTCTTAGCAATTGTGAGTAATGCTGCAATAAACATTGATGTGCAAGCACTTTTCTGACTGAGCATTAAAAGGCAGAATCTCTCAGAGGATAACTGATTCAGCTATTTTGGGAAGTTGCAAGTGTGGCAGATGTTGAGGTGAGTCAAGCATACTGGGATAAACATATTTTGTTATATTCTGTGGTATTTGTTTTATTTGTACTGTTAGACTCATACTTGCTTTGTGTCATTGTGTAATCATTTTTGGGTCAGTGTGTCCTTCAGAAAATAATATAAGAAATCCACGACATCAAGTCTATTGGCTTGGGCAGGATTGCCTTGGCTCTTGGGTGAGCTCTATTAAACATTCTCTTTTAACGTCTGATCCTTTCCTACTACACTATCAGACTCAACTGTAAGAGGTCTCAACATGAAAGTCTCTGTGTACAAGTGTCAATTTTTCCCCAGACACTTGAAGGTGGAGACAGAAGTTCTCTTCCTCAGGAAAAAAAAAGCCAAAATAAATCAACTGTTGGTCCCCTAAATAAACTTAAGACTCCAAATAATCACCTTGTCCCATTCAGCCAAGGTTTATTCTTACCAGAGAACAACATCAAGGGAGATATTCATAGCCCCCTACTTTGGCTCATTAGGCTCATTTCCCATTTGTTATTTCCACCTATAGTCTCTAATCTCTTTTGAACAATGGACTTCAAAGAAAGGAAAATTTTCTGCTAATAATGTATTCTCACGTGAATAACCAATAAGTCAGTTGAATCCCGTCTTCATTGTTTGTATGTTTCCATCTAGCAGGTCATGCTATTAGCTAATTTATTTTGTTTTTACACAACTGGCACTCCCAGAGTAAAGATAGAAACTGAGTAAGAGACAGTCTTTAATTGGAACTCCATCAAGATGTTTCCATGGGAGCCAGCAGGTGGTGAACAGGTTAAGGTTTAGGACTCCTACATGGCCAACCAACGTAACAGTTCAGGACTCAAAGGCTTGAAACTCAGGCCTACCATTTGTGCGTTCATGTCTAAACAGAAAGGAGAGTGGAGGATAAGGGCTTGTGGCATGGCCATATTCTGAGGGGTGATTTCTCATTTTCTGTCTCTGGTGAGTGCTCAGGCCCTTTAAAAATATATATATGTATGCATTTAACAATAAGAGAGGAATCTAGGGGCTGGTAGGTGGCCTGGTGATTAAATGCGCTAGATTCCCACATGGCTGACCACATACAGTCCTGGACCAGGTGGCTTGCTCTCTCCTTTTCCCTTTCCCTTTCTGTCTCTCCAGTCAAAATAAGAATAGTAATAACAAGTGGAATAAATAAATAAATAAATCTTTTTTATTTAAGAGTAGGAGATGTGACTCTTGGGGCAACTAGTTGGCTTTTTGGGAAATTAATACCCTTGTGAAGAAAGGATGTCTTATTAGATCTGAGGATTTTGGATAAACAAGGTGACATGGGTGAAATTTCACACCACTGCTTCTGCAGGTTATATATGAGTCAGGAAAAGGAGAGGTTGCTTGGTGTCCCGGCCTGCGGGACGATCGGGCAGGGTGCCTGAGTGAGAGAGCAGAGGTCTGGAACCAGCGCAGCATGGGAGCGACACAGTGTCACAACTCAAGATGATATGCAGTCGCAAGTTTATTGAGGGCCAGAGAACATTCTTATATACACAGGGTAGGAAAAGGGGGCAGGAATTGTC